TTCTCTAGATTTGATAAGTTTCCTTTTTTTTTTTTTTTTTTTTTTTTCTTTTTTTCTTTATGCAAATGTCAGTAGCATGAAATTGCATCCAAAACGCCTTGTCTTGCTTTTGTACTCCTTTCAAACTCTGGATCATTTACTACAATTTGATCAATGATTTTGGTTATTGTTACCAAACTTTTACTAAGGAAATCTGTAGAGATATTCTTTGGGTTCTTTGTTTTCAGAATCTGTTTTCCAGTTCTACATGAATTCCTTGTTCTTCCATTTCTTGAAAGTTGTCGTTGGTAAGGCTTTCACCAGAAACCTGCAGTAACTCCTCAATATCCTACTCATCTACATCTCTTATTCCTGCTGTGTCGATTAGGTTGACAATTTGGTCAATCTAATGATACAGCGATAGACTCTTCTTGTTGAGAGGTCTTGAATTCCTTCAGCCATAACTTATTCTACACTTTGTTCCTGCCAAGCAAAGTCGATATTGCCTATGGCATCCACGATATATTTTTTTCCAAAATTGCACTAAACATAGATTTATGGAAAGTACAGCGCTACGACAAATTGCCACCTTTTGCTGATTGGTTTTTGTTTGTGAATAATCATATTATATATGAATTGATGAAATGCCACAATAATTTGAATCAGTGTAAATTTTGAGCTTTTTTTTAGGCTTCAAGCAGACAGCGTTATATCGAATCAGCATTAAGCAGGGTTTTACTGTATGTCAAAAATGAATTGTCCATTGTGCAAGACTGTACTGTAACTATAACTGTATACAAAATAGTTCATTAGCATGGCTTAGAAAATACTATTGGGATTTTTACCTTGAAAAAAAAATTTTACTTTAAATCTAATTATTTTTTCATAGATATTTTTAATTCCAATATTACCAATGATGTATCTGGTTACTAAAAATGTATTTGATGATCTAGAAGTTATGAAGATGTTAAATGATTAAGTTAACAAAAGTATTTGATTCATTAATCAAATTTTATTTATTGAAAGAAAGCACAAAATTCCCGTGTTGAATTTATAAAGGAACACGTGGTGAAGAGAATAGATTTTATTATTATTTAACATACACTATTTCTGTACAAAGTGGTAGAAATGCATTTCATGCTATTTGCCCCTTGTCAGTCCTTTTTTGTACAAATATAAATTTTACATAAAAATACATTAAATTTAATGTTTATTTATACACTGTATTACACATGCAAAACCCACAGAAAAAATGAAGATTACTTGAATCAATATTTATTTGTGATTCCTGGATAAATGGTGTAGAATTACAATCAAAATAAGAAAGAACAAAAACAAGTGGAACTAAAATAAATTAAGTATAAAAAATTGAATAAATTAAAATAAATTCTATTAAAAAGGGTAAAAGTGTATGATAAGTTTGACAGCAATTTTGTGTTTTTCCCCCCCATTGAACATAGAAAGAACAAGAAGCAATTAAGTATTAAAATTTTATTTAATATAAATGTATAATGCATGAAATAGTTCATGTTAACTTTTAAATCTCTCTAGACTTACACTAGTGATGAAAAGTTAAAATATGTATCAATGATCAAACAAAAATCTGACAGTTTTTTGATTGTAAAATTGGTTTGTTGTTACTATTTTCATGTTTAAGTTCAAATATGATAATTAGTACCAGATGAAAGAAAAGCCATTTAAACTATAATTGGAATATCTTTCTGAAATTCTTTCATAAACTGTCTTATATGTTAATAGTATAGAATTATTTTAAGTGAAGTTAAGTGAACTATTTCTGTTAAGTTAAATGATGTTTAATTCAAAAAATGATGGAATATCTGCACTGTATTACTGTAATCCAACTTGTATCTATAAACCTTTTACAGGTGCGCGTATCAGATAAATCTCTAAGATAGAGCACACCATGCATAATGCGCAAGTCCATAGTGACGTCATTGGGTCGGGACATCGTTCCAGATCGTATTTTGTAATAACTTTGAACCGCATTCTGTTATGGGATTGTTACCTGAAGAAGAACCGTAACGGTTTGAAAATGTTTGTAACTGTTGTAGAGTGTGATGATACGCGCACTGGTAAAAAGTTTATAGATAGGAGTTGGATTGTATATTTAATTTTTAGAAAAATCTTTGTTCATTGAATTTATATAGTTCATTTTTTCCCCTTCCATCTAAACTTACCATATTATGGTATAAAAACAGATTATTATTTTTTTGTTCCACAATACACCAGATTAATTGTAATTATTTTGTACATTGTTTTTGTATTTTGTAAATTGATTTGTATTTTATTGAACTGTTACAAATAAAACACGGGGATTAGAAAAATACAAAAATTTTACATATAATATTATTAAATTACTTACATTTTATAAATATAGATAATAAATTTTAAATAGTGTCTTTTTATAATAGTATAAATAAGTAAATTATTTTAAATAATTATTTCATTTTACTCATTAATATATTATGTTATCCAATAACAATTCTAATATATTTTACAATATACTTCAGAAGAGCCTGGTTTGCTATTGATTTGGGATTATGGCTGATACCAAGTTGTTATACTTTACGTCATGCTAGAGGATATGGAAGGTATTCAATTTATTTTATTTTTTTTATCAATTTAACCTGCTGCATTCAAAATTTTTCTTTAATAATCATCATAAATTCAGATTTTAGGATTGTATGGTATTGTTTTTTAATTTTTTTCATATTAGCTACAACTTAAAAATTGATTTAAACTAATGCACATACAAAAACTTTGTTTTTTTGCAATTGTTATGTAAAAATTAGCTGAAAAATGATGAAAAATTGAGATAATGTTAATTTATAAATGCTTGTTTGTATTTTTGTGAAAAATAATTAATAAATAGAAATTCTATATATATATAAAAAAATAAATGATAATTTTATTTCTATTCAGTAGATAATACAAGTAAATTTTTTAGATATAAACATTATAGGTATTTGGTTAAAATTTTTAAAATTTTCCCAGGAGTTGCTTGTTTCATTCCAAACTAAAAGTTATTTTTGTGATAAAATAATAATTCTTATATTTAATACTGGATCTCTTGTTGAAATAAATGCTAATCTAATAAATTTTAAGTTACAAAACAAACAAGATTTAGATTAATTTGTCATGCATAAACTTGATTTGTAATATAATTACAGTTAATTATTAGCAATTTTTATACATTTCATTTAAAATCATTGTAGGAAAGAAAAGTGGATAGAACTTGTAAAAAATGTTTGCAACTTAAGAAATCTATATATAAAGAATACACCATGGCAAAATCTATTTCCAATTTGTTAAAATACTTGAATATGAATTACATTTATGTTTGATACATAATTGTGGTGCTTAATGTGTATGAGCCCTATTGCATTTGTTTTACTATTTAATTTTATTTAAAATAATTAGAAGTGAAAATATGCTCAATTTCATTCTTGCCATAGTGACACTCCTCCCTGCCATTTTGGCATTCATACTGGACAGGGCCAGTATGAAAATGCTTCTGAAAATAACGTCTCAAGTTGACATTGTAAATTAAATTTTAGTCTAGAAAGACTGACGTTATTTGTTTCAACTAAAATGATGCCTATTTCTTACATGTAGGAAAAAAACTTTATAGACATTTGAACAAAATTTTGTTGTATACTGAAATATTATGTTATGCTAATAAATTTTATATAAATAAATTTATTTGCTGCTTTATTTTTCCTATTGTAATTTAACAAGAAAAATTCTTACAGCAAATAGTTTGTTGGGGAAAAAGTCATTAAGATTACTTGATAACCATTATCATCATTACAACAGTTTTTATAATCGTGTGCTTTACTTTAGTACATAGATGATTCTGAATGGTTGTTTGTTATGCATGTGTGTTAATATCATGCCAGTTAATGTGAATTTATTTACTATATATGGATGTCAGTGGGTTAAATTTATTATGATTTAATTGTAATATTTTATTGTGTCTTAGCTGATATACATAATAATATATCATAAATTTATTAGACATTAAGATTTAAGTTACGATATAAATAATAATAATAATATGATGATTAAATTATTGTACTCATATGGTCCTACAATGATAAATTATAGGTTCAAATGAGTATCTAAAAATTTAATTCTTAGTATTGTTTCTAATTTCATTGGCAGTTTTTACAATTACTGTTACAATAAGAATGATTATATTTAAATCCCTATAAATTGTAATATGATTGCCTATCTATCCTCTCTTGTAATTTATATATATTTTTTCTTTTAATGTTACAGCTTTTTTTTCCAGTCACATTGTGCTCACTTTCACATTACTTTTTTCCAGCCATTTTCAGCTTACTGAAAGTTTGCATTTCTGCTTGTATAATTACATGTAGTTCCATTTTTATACTTTTGTTTTATAATAAAAATATTCTATTTTTTTATGTTAACATTCTTCTAATATAAAAGTTTAATATACTTACTATATATTTTGCTCTCACATTTTCTCTAGAAAGAAATTGAATAGTATTAATTTTGCTAAATATATTTTATGATAACATATTATTCTCAATATTGCTTATTTTTTGTATTTTTTTGGGAAAAGTTATTTTATGTTAAGAAGCATCTAAATTTGAGATTTTATTTTTTAAATGGGTAATTTTTGTATTTATGATATTTATTTTATTATTATTAAGAACATATTCTTATTAAAAGAAAGAGACTAAAGAAATAATTTTCAAGTCTAAATATCAATAGATGACTAAATTTTATTGCTATTAAATTATTTACATGCTATAAATTTATTTATCATAGATCAGCTCTTAGGAATTGGTTATTTCAAGTTTCAAAGGATGGTGTAAATTGGACAACACTTTATACACATACTGATGATTGTTCTTTGAATGAACCTGGATCTACAGCATCATGGCCTTTAGAAACACCTTCAGAAGAAACCCAAGGTTGGAGACATATACGTTTACAACAAACAGGGAAAAATGCAAGTGGACAGACACACTATATGTCTCTCTCAGGTTTTGAAATTTATGGCACAATTACTGGTGTTTGTGATGATATAGGTAAAATGAAAATCTGAATTATAGAAATATATGCAAATCTATGTTTTTCTTATTATTATTATTGGGTAATTTTACAATACATATTCAGGTAAGACGGCAAAAGAGGCAGAAGCGAATTTGAGGCGACAAAGAAGAATAATTAAACAACAAATAAGACACATGATTGTGGGGGCCAGAGTTATCCGAGGACCAGATTGGAAATGGCGGGATCAAGATGGTAACCCTGCAGGTGAAGGAACAATTACTGGAGAATTACACAATGGTATATAGGTATCTGCTTAAAATGTCAATTTATGTAGATGAGGGTTGGGAATCTGTCAGCTTAAATTTCTAAGTAAATATATATCATTGGCATTTATATTTATTTTAAAAAAACAAAAATTATTTTTTATTTATATAAAAATTATAGCTTTGAAATTAATGCAGTTAAAAAATCTTGATTTTACGTTTTATTTTTGAAAAAATATTAATTTAAACGTAAAATCAGATAAAATAAATAAATACGTAAATTGGCTGTATTTTTATTTGTTTCTGGTACCTTCTCTATCAGGACTGTTATTAGAATATGAAAAATATTACATATGCTTTTTAAATATTATTTTAACAATATCAAATAGTATTAAAAATAACATAACACAAGTATGTACATAACAAGTAATTTTAAAATTTTAAGAATTTTTAAAATATTCTCCTTTTATGTTAAATTTAAAATTCATGTAATATTATTATTTATATGACTCAGAAGAATAAAAGCAATGAAATGAAAGATGGTTCCAGATATTTTTAAATATTTTCAAATAAACTTCTACTCACCATTTAGATGATTGACTTTCTATCTATATACAATTTATAATTTTAATATATATAATAATAAAGTTGCAGAGAAAATTATTATTTCTTCGTAATAATTAGTAAAGATTAACTTATTTCTAAGTACTTATATGACTTTATCTCTTAAATGGTTTTGCAAACTTCCATTCTTTACTTCAGAATTCTTATAGTTTAAAGATTATTATTAAATTACTATTATGAAATTTTTGAAGAAAAATTAGTATTTGTCTATTATCAATCATTAATGTTCTATAGAAGAAGTTTCATGAAGTTACTATAAATATTTTGCTATAAATACAAATGTAAAGAATAATGGTAGTATAACTATATGATAAATTAACCTATGCAGGAGTCACACTGTCTGTTACAAAATTTGCAATTTACAAAAATTTTATTCATCTGGTGATTGGAGTGACAAATAGCTACAGAGCAGTCTGCAAAAAAAAAAAAAAAATCCAGCAACAGGAGTTGCATAACTTTTCCAGCTATTATGAGTTTATTTTAAAAAAAAAATTTGTATTTAATTAAAAATAAAATTGTTTGTAGTGTCGTCTGTTATCAGATTTTGTTATAAAAAATTTTTATAGTTTTAATTACTATAAAATAGCAAAAAGCTTAATTATGAGAGTAGGGATGAGTTTTATGAAAAAGTGTAAGTGTTAATAATGAACAAAATCTTAAGTCCTATCCCTCTGAAGATAAATGACCCCCCTCTATCTTCCCACCCTCTTGACCTTCTACCACCAAAATTTAATAGCATCAATGCAACATACAATTTTGAATGCTGTTGCCAGGAAAATACACAATTCATTACTGGATTTTTTCAATTACAAATAGCTACCATCTTAATCAGAACAATTAAAACAAAATATTATATTTTTTTATTTGTTCAAATTTATTGTTCAAAATTTATAAATAAATAATTTCTAATATTTCTAAAATAAATTGTAGCTAAAAAGATTATTTCAGAGAGCTAAAAATGTTTATTATTAGCTAATAGGCAGTAAAACAAGAAATAAAGAATAGAATCTTAATTAAATCATAAAACTTTTTGTTCTGATAAGATAATAGTTATTTATAATGTATTACAAATAACTACTTAACTATAACTGTTATATTTTATATAAAAATACAGTAAAATCCCAACATTGTGACTACCAATAGCAAAGATTTTCTGAGCAAAAGTGGTCTTTATGAAAGGTTTCATTGTAAATATTATACAGGCTTTTTACTGTTTCCATTATGTAAATAAATGGTCATTTATTGTTTTAATTATAATATCATTGTTTAATTCTTTATCACTTTAAGTTTTAAGATTCTGAAGTTAAAGAGCAGGAATTTTTGAAAATATTAATGAATAAAATGTATAGACTTATAGTTGTTTTGGTAATTTGATTATTATATAATAGGATAAAAAATAGCAATATCAAAATTCTTTTTATTATTTATATTTTTATCTAAATTAACTGAAGGGTTTATATTAATAATTGACTTAATGATTCAACTTTAAAAAACTAATGGATAATATAAGTTTATCTGAAAATATTTAAGATTAAAACTCATCTTTATTATAACAAATTCTTTCTATCCTTTTTTTTGTTTTATTTTACTTCTATTTTATTGTATCAGAACTTTTTAATGTATAACGAAATCTGAGTTTAGCAGACACTTGTCCTAAATGGACCAAGTGTCAAATGATTGTGTCTGCTAAACCCAGGTTCTACTAGAAATAATACTAACATAATAGTATATTTTGTCTTTTTTAATTATACCTTACTAGAAAAAATATAAACTAAATGAAAGTGTGTTTTTGTAATGAACAGAATACTGAGCATTTTAAATTGAGTTAAATAATGTATAAAACTTTTTAAATAGATAAAATTCCAAAAATCTGATTAAGTTAGGATTTAATTTCTGTTTTATTTAGAAATTAGTTTTACTACCAAATAATGGAAATTGGATCACTTATAGAAGACAAAATATATGTTGATATCTATACAGTGAAATATGTCAGATAGATTTGCTTTTGTTTCAAAATTATAAGTTTCTTGTATGTGTTCAATAGCAGATATATACTTTATTTTATTATTAAAACATATAATGTTAATGAACAGCAAAATATTGTTAAATTTTTCTTGGCAAAATAACTTTGTTAATATTAATGTTAAGAAAACTATTTTATTTTCTGTTTCTGTAAATTATTTCCTGAAACATTAGGAAGGGGGCATTCTATCAGGNCAATTTGATCAATGATTTTGGTTATTGTTACCAAACTTTTACTAAGGAAATCTGTAGAGATATTCTTTGGGTTCTTTGTTTTCAGAATCTGTTTTCCAGTTCTACATGAATTCCTTGTTCTTCCATTTCTTGAAAGTTGTCGTTGGTAAGGCTTTCACCAGAAACCTGCAGTAACTCCTCAATATCCTACTCATCTACATCTCTTATTCCTGCTGTGTCGATTAGGTTGACAATTTGGTCAATCTAATGATACAGCGATAGACTCTTCTTGTTGAGAGGTCTTGAATTCCTTCAGCCATAACTTATTCTACACTTTGTTCCTGCCAAGCAAAGTCGATATTGCCTATGGCATCCACGATATATTTTTTTCCAAAATTGCACTAAACATAGATTTATGGAAAGTACAGCGCTACGACAAATTGCCACCTTTTGCTGATTGGTTTTTGTTTGTGAATAATCATATTATATATGAATTGATGAAATGCCACAATAATTTGAATCAGTGTAAATTTTGAGCTTTTTTTTAGGCTTCAAGCAGACAGCGTTATATCGAATCAGCATTAAGCAGGGTTTTACTGTATGTCAAAAATGAATTGTCCATTGTGCAAGACTGTACTGTAACTATAACTGTATACAAAATAGTTCATTAGCATGGCTTAGAAAATACTATTGGGATTTTTACCTTGAAAAAAAAATTTTACTTTAAATCTAATTATTTTTTCATAGATATTTTTAATTCCAATATTACCAATGATGTATCTGGTTACTAAAAATGTATTTGATGATCTAGAAGTTATGAAGATGTTAAATGATTAAGTTAACAAAAGTATTTGATTCATTAATCAAATTTTATTTATTGAAAGAAAGCACAAAATTCCCGTGTTGAATTTATAAAGGAACACGTGGTGAAGAGAATAGATTTTATTATTATTTAACATACACTATTTCTGTACAAAGTGGTAGAAATGCATTTCATGCTATTTGCCCCTTGTCAGTCCTTTTTTGTACAAATATAAATTTTACATAAAAATACATTAAATTTAATGTTTATTTATACACTGTATTACACATGCAAAACCCACAGAAAAAATGAAGATTACTTGAATCAATATTTATTTGTGATTCCTGGATAAATGGTGTAGAATTACAATCAAAATAAGAAAGAACAAAAACAAGTGGAACTAAAATAAATTAAGTATAAAAAATTGAATAAATTAAAATAAATTCTATTAAAAAGGGTAAAAGTGTATGATAAGTTTGACAGCAATTTTGTGTTTTTCCCCCCCATTGAACATAGAAAGAACAAGAAGCAATTAAGTATTAAAATTTTATTTAATATAAATGTATAATGCATGAAATAGTTCATGTTAACTTTTAAATCTCTCTAGACTTACACTAGTGATGAAAAGTTAAAATATGTATCAATGATCAAACAAAAATCTGACAGTTTTTTGATTGTAAAATTGGTTTGTTGTTACTATTTTCATGTTTAAGTTCAAATATGATAATTAGTACCAGATGAAAGAAAAGCCATTTAAACTATAATTGGAATATCTTTCTGAAATTCTTTCATAAACTGTCTTATATGTTAATAGTATAGAATTATTTTAAGTGAAGTTAAGTGAACTATTTCTGTTAAGTTAAATGATGTTTAATTCAAAAAATGATGGAATATCTGCACTGTATTACTGTAATCCAACTTGTATCTATAAACCTTTTACAGGTGCGCGTATCAGATAAATCTCTAAGATAGAGCACACCATGCATAATGCGCAAGTCCATAGTGACGTCATTGGGTCGGGACATCGTTCCAGATCGTATTTTGTAATAACTTTGAACCGCATTCTGTTATGGGATTGTTACCTGAAGAAGAACCGTAACGGTTTGAAAATGTTTGTAACTGTTGTAGAGTGTGATGATACGCGCACTGGTAAAAAGTTTATAGATAGGAGTTGGATTGTATATTTAATTTTTAGAAAAATCTTTGTTCATTGAATTTATATAGTTCATTTTTTCCCCTTCCATCTAAACTTACCATATTATGGTATAAAAACAGATTATTATTTTTTTGTTCCACAATACACCAGATTAATTGTAATTATTTTGTACATTGTTTTTGTATTTTGTAAATTGATTTGTATTTTATTGAACTGTTACAAATAAAACACGGGGATTAGAAAAATACAAAAATTT